TAACCACCTCTGAAAGAGATCCTCTATTCGACAACTTTTCTAAATTGCCTCACGTTGTTGGTCAACAATACTTGCTAGAAAAAGTTAAACCAGTGAGGAATGTGGAGACTGAGCCAGAGGGAGTTCAAGTTTCTCAGCTGGTAACTACAATGTCAAAAGAAAATTCAACTAGAGAAGACCCAAAGCATGGACAAGGTTTTTCATCGGAGAAAAACTACATGCTGTCTGAAAATAGAAAAATGCTAAACTTGTTGGCTGGAGGAGCAAGAGAAGATTATAAAGTGAAGCCTTTGTCTGAGAATCCACCAAATGCATGTTCAAGAGGTTTTACTTCAGATGGCCAAAGTGACCCTGCGAATGAATTTGATAGAAAAAATATGGAAGGTAATAATGAAGAAAATTCTCAGATCAATCCTCTGCCAGTATCTTCCTGGTTTAAGTTCAGAAATGGGCAGATGCCTTCAATGTACAACGAGCTGCTCGCAAAGCATCCTGGTGGGCACTTCTCTCTCTTGAACCCTTCGGAAAATCTATGCAAACAGTCATCCCTGGATGGAATAGATTCTACAGATGTTAATCAGAGTGGTAGGGTTTGGTCAACTGCTGCTACAACCATGGTGGCATCTGACCTGACAGGCCCGTATGGATTGCCGTCTTCTCTCACTGTTAAAACTGCAGCCATTGTGAGTAAAAAGCGTAAACTTGACTCCTCTGAGCTTCAACCATGTCATTTAGAAGTCCAAGGTTCTCGGAGGATTTTGAATAGCAGGTATTTAACTGTCATTGTAAAGAGCGTATTTCTTTAATAAAAAAAATCTTAACTTCGAGTTAAAATGATATCCTCTTTTTACAGTTAACCTTTATTTTACTTTATACCGTGTGCTCGTGATGCTGTTATTAATGTTTAGAATGTGTTGTTTGCAGTGTGGCAGAACAAGAATGGGCGCAAGCTACAAACCGGCTGACAGAAAAGGTACTCCCATGATAAAAAAAACTTTGTTTTAAATTTTTAATGTGAAGTTGCTAACCTATTGTTTTCTGCATTAAATTTCAGTTGGTAAATGAAGTTGAGATGGTTGAAGATGGACACGTAATGTTTCGATCAAAGAGAAGGCTTATCATGACAACACAGCTGTTGCAGCAGTTAGTTTATCCTGCACCATCATTCATCCTTTCGGCGGATGCCTCTTCTTTCTATGATAGTACGATATACTTTGTCTTAAGGTCATCATTAGGGGATACGTGCAGCCTGATGAGTGGTCAAAGAAATGATCGGTGCGTCTCTCTTGATAACAGAAATGTGTACGAGTCCTTTCCATACTTGTTGCTAGCACCCGTTTGAGTTTTGATTTTTTTTTCCAAGTGTTGTGGCAGTAGAGGGACATCAAGTAATTTTTTTGCATTGGTTTAAGAAACATTTTCTCTGCTCTTATTTCTATTTAGAAACAGAGTATAATCTTATTCCTTTTCACTTTATTGCTTCCGATAAATCAGCTCAAAGTGTGTAAATTACATGGAAGCTTTAATTTGTTTCGGTGCAGCATTTGTAACATTTTTCTGTGTGTAACTTTCAGAACGTCCGAAGAACATGAAACCGTAAAATGTACTGATGATAAGTACATAGTGGAGGCTGTGGAAAGTTTCTGCGCTAGAGCTGGGAAATTGGAAAATGACTTGCAAAGGTATGATTTACTTTACAGAAATGTTTTAAAATGTACTTTTACTTATATTTCTAGATTCATCATAACAATCATACTCACAAATTACTACCCTCCCCCCCCCCCCCCCCCCCCCCCCCC